GGATGAGCACATTAGCTGTGTTTGTTTCTTAATGATGGTAATTGCAAGCAATTAGTTCACATACAAATTGCCACAAGAAACGCAATAAAGTCAGTGCGATTTCACAAGAAAATTTAAACTAAGCAATTAGGGCTGTAAAATTGGCATCGCACATATTTAAACCCTTGCAAAAGAACTGCTTTATACTGCGCTATGGCTAATTCGCGAGTGAAGGAAGTCCAAGGATTACTTGAAGAAATAAAATTATTGAGTTTAAAAATCGTAGATATTTGAAGAAAGACATCAACAGTTGTCAAAACTGCAGAGATAGAGATGAGAAAAATGAACATTCTTCTTTTTGAATGTAATCTTTAAACAGCACCTTTGAATACCTAAACGCCACAAACTTTGACTACGCAATCATCAGCGAATGAAAGTTAGGATGACTTGTCCTCTTTTTTGCCTTTTGCACATGTTTTGTATGAATAAAGGGAACTCCTCTACCATATCGAGTTTTGAAGAGATAGGCTGCCACAATTGAAGTAAGAAAAAAACCGTGAGAATGTCACTATGAGAATGTTGTCGCCTCGAAGTAAGAATTGGTTCAGTTTCTTGTTACCACGTCAAAACAGTTTGTGATACAAAAACGGACAAAGTCAACTCAAAAAGTCTTGTGTAATCCTGCGCAAGGACATAGTGAAATGGCGTGGACCGGCGTTGACGGGCTAAACGGAAAAGAATGAATTAGATATGCATCGACGGAATGCGTCCGGCTAACCCATGCTATGGACCTGATTAGCATCATGGTCGGGCCCGGACAAATGTGAAGAAAGCGCGACCGGAGGTCTAACCCTCACGAAATGCATCCCGACAATTAAGCGTGGCACTATGAATAACGATCACACGCTGTCTTCATTCAAAGCCTTCCGAAAGACTCATTTCTATCGCCGTTTATCATGCGCATCCGTACGCAAATCGAGGTTGAAGATCGATGACGCTGAGGTAATTTTCATTTGGGCTTTGGCCAACAGGTTAGAAATTCCATGTATAGCAGTCAGAGTAAGATGGAGCTCTGAACTCTGAATTTTGCAAAAATCTACCTATCAAATGCAAGCTAGCAGACCTATAAGAGTTTATGCATAGCAAATGCGTTCTCAACTCAATTAAAAAGTCATGAATTTCTGATTCGAAGAATTTTCATTGTTGGACTCATACACAAATGAGTCGCAGGTTCTTTAAAAGGTAATGCGCGCCTTTGTAATCGTAAAATTAACAATTTTTTGACAGCAAGAGCTTCCTTTTCTCCAAATCTCAATACATCGTTGGAAGGCTTAGTTCACACTCTTTCAAAAAAATTTCCCAAATTCAAGTTAAAAGGCAAGTTAGATGGAGCCATTATATTCATTTACACAGAAGGCCGGAGATCAACGAAGAAGATTTTTTTGTTTTGCTTTTGGCAAATATACAAAGGAGATGTCACATTGTGAGAGGTTCGGGTAAGTATGGTGGATGAGAAAGAGATTCTCGAACGGGCTGACCATTTTCTCCTGATCGTTTGCATGAGTGCGAAAAATCACAT